ACTAACCAATACCTCACCGCCGCAAATGGTTCGCCGATCCGCATTCAGGGACGAAAAGCGCTGTGCCTAGACTTCGGGCTTAGCAGGACTTTTCCTTGGTCCTTTGTCTTGGCGGATGTAAAAATCCCGCTAATTGGAGCTGATTTCCTCTCCTATTACAATTTACTGCCCGACCTGAGAAAACGAAGAGTATTAGACGAAACAACTCTTCTCTCCGCCCCCGGCAGTCTCAGCCACGCACGGATCCACTCCATCGTGGCTACATCTCCTCTGCACTCCACTCCTGCCTCAGCCGGCGCAAGCGACACAATCAGCAAGCTAGTGGAGGAAAGTTTCAGATGCTTCCTCGCCATCGAAGGACGGTTAACTGGACCAACTGCCGCTACTCAACACCACATCGTCACCACGGAACCTCCAGTTTTTTCAAGGCCCTGTCAGATGCTCGGTGAGAAGCTGAAAGCTGCTAAGGCAGAGTACAGAGAGCTATTATGCACAGGAGTCATAAGACCCTCTAGCAGCCCCTACGCAAGCCCAATACATATGGCGAAATCAAAGTCTGGAAAACTACGGCCAATCGGAGACTACAGAAATCTCAACGCTCAGACAGTCCCGGACCGCTATCCGATCCCACGGATTCACGATCTACTACTTCAACTCCATGGAAAAACGATATTCTCGACAATAGATCTAAAAAGGGCCTACTTTCAGATACCGGTCGCTCCAGAGGACGTCCACAAGACCGCAATAACAACAACATTCGGACTGTTCGAGTTCTTGGGCATGCCTCTTGGGTTAAAAAACACAACCCAAACGTTCCAGCGCTACATCAACAGCCTCTTCGGACATTTGGACTTCGTCTCCGCCTGTCTGGACGACCTTCTCATCTCGTCCAAGGACATCAAAGAGCACGCGGAACATCTCCAAGCTGTCTTCGACATACTTTTCAACAGCAACCTAAAAATCAACTGGGGCAAATGCTGCTTTGCCGTAGAAGAAATTATTTTTCTCGGGTTTCGCCTCAATGCCTCGGGATTCAGTCCTCCGTCAGAGAAAGTAAAGGCTATCCTCGAAATACCCAAACCAGCGACAGTGCATGAATTAAAAAGCTTCCTAGGAGCAACAAATTATTTCAGGGCACTCATTCCACATGCAGCCGAAGCTCAGGCTCTTCTCAACGAAAAAGCGAAGTCCACTAAGAAACGCGACAAGACGCCCATCGACTGGACACCGCAGCTGTCCACAGCCTTCGAAGAAACGAAGAACTCTCTCGCAGCAGCGACCTCGTCAGCTTTTCTTCATCCAGACGCCACAATCATCCTCACTACTGATGCCTCTTCAACCGCCATAGGCGGATCGCTAGAACAGCATGTTGACGAAAAACGACTGCCTCTCGGATTTTACTCCAGGAAACTATCGCCGGCCGAAAGAAACTACAGCCCGTACGATCGTGAGCTGCTGGCAATTTTCGCGACTTTAAAGCACTTCGCCCACATCGTAGAAGGCAGATCTTTCTTGATCAGGACCGACCACAAACCATTGGTGAAGGCGTTTCAGCAACGCCCAGACAAAGCCTCTCCGAGGCAACTTCACCAACTTGACTACATTGGCCAGTTCTGCACCTCAATTGTGCACATTCCTGGCCAAAAAAATGTTGTTGCAGACGCCCTCTCAAGGATCTGCACAATCAACATGCCCACCAGACTCGACGCGAGGACCATCAGCGAGGCGCAGACCATCGATGCTGCCTCCCATCAGAACGAGAACACAGCCTCTCTCACACTTTAACCTCTGGACATTGATGGACATCGCCTCTTATGCGACGTCTCCACTGGGATCGTCCGCCCGTACTTACCCTCATCTCTCAGACAGACAGCATTTGACGTAGTGCATGGACCGGCCCATCCAAGCGGCAGAGAGACGGCGCGTAAGCTAAAAGAAAAATTCATCTGGCCAGGGATCCGCAAGGACGCGCTCGCGTGGTCGCGCGAATGTATTGCCTGCCAAAGAGCGAAAATCCATCGGCACACCAGAAATCAACCGACCTGCATAGAGGTTCCTGAAGCCCGTTTCAACCACGTACATCTGGACATAATCGTCATGCCGCCAGCTAACAACCACAGATATTGCCTGACTATCATAGATAGGTTCACCAGGTGGCCGCAAGCGATTCCATTAAAAAACCAGCTCGCCGAGACAGTGGCTCGGGCCTTCTACTCCGGTTGGATCGCTATCTTTGGCACTCCTTTGACGATAACGGCGGATCAGGGCCCTCAGTTTGAATCCGCTCTATTCGGGTTGCTGGCTAAAACCATCGGCGCTACGCGTCTACGCACGACGCCGTACCATCCCCAGTCCAACGGCATGATAGAGCGCTGGCACAGGATCCTCAAAGCTGCTCTCATGTGTTAGCCCAGCTACCCATGGACGGAGCTATTGCCTACAGTCCTGCTCGGACTACGCACCGCTTACAAAGAGGACATAAAAGCCTCCCCCGCTGAATTAGCCTTTGGCACCTCAATAAGAGTACCTGGTGAATTCTTCGTGACTCAAGATCAAGCTACCGATCCAATTACTTTCTTGGACCATCTCAAGAGATACTTCAAGATCATAAGGTCGACGCCCACGTCCCATCATATAAAAGCTAAACAGTTCATGCATGGAGACCTTCGCACATGCTCGCACGTGTTCAAGCTTGGAGCTCCAATAAAGCCACCACTCACTCCACCTTATTCGGGTCCTCATAGTGATCGAGAGGCTGGATGATATCAGGTACATCATCGACGTGAATGGATCACCGCAAACCGTATCCACAACGAAGCTAAAGCCCGCTTATCTAGCAGCAGAAGAACCTATTGCCTCACAGAACCGCGGGCTATGCTTGCAAGCAAGAACGGTCTCTTTTAACGTTCCAGGGGACTCAAGGGGCCTAACGGTCAGCCAGCAAACTCCACGCGCCACAACATCATCATCATCAGAGCTGCCTTTCAATCAGGCACCTTCCAGGGAGGGAGTGACTGTGGCGGTTGATCCTCGGCGCGCTAAGCCAACGCCAGATGACGCCATACGTGACTCCGAAAGACGGCGCCCCCGGAAACAAGAATTGGTACCGCGCGAAGTCTTCTAAGCGCTAGCTCCAGTTGCGAACAAGTCAACCTGGGATCGAGCCGTGAGGCGCCTGCGGGAGTTGTACTCACGACGCACCAGGAGTCTTCCACTCCGAAAGCCATAAGCTCTGTAGTGCTTCGCCATAGCTCTGGCGGTTTGAGAGAGTGCTCATTTTGGAGGAATAAAAGTCTCTTTCAGTACTGGTGAACCGCGTGTTTTATTTCCGGACGCTCCTTACCTTGCGCACAGAGACGCTCGAGAGCAGGTCTGGTGCGCATCGCGACACCCTACCTAGCTCGTCGCACTTAGAGAAACCTAACAGGTGGTCCATCTTGATCGACACATTTTAAGAGTCCGTAACAACAACCTTTTTCTAAGCGTTCAAAAAACATGGTTGTTGATATCAGAAAATTTTGAAAAAATAAACATAGTTTAATTGCAGAATCGACACAGGTGATCTTAATTGTCAACAATAAATAACATTGTCATGTTTATTTATCACCAAAAAAAGTACGAGCAGTGACACCGGCAAGTTTTCAGTTGAATACGGCACTGCCCGAGCAGTCGATACAACCCAAACACTCAGAAATCTAAAAGCAATTTTTCCAGCGGCAACGCTGGTATTCAGTATAGGGACTATAGGGCAGTTTATTGCGTCCTCTGCGGGTGTCTTGCCAAAATATTCAAATATATTCGTATTTTTTCGATTTGATTAGAAATATTACTATCAAGTTAATCATTAATTATATAAAAAAATGTTGATTTTTTACATATTCAACCTAATTATTCCGTATTTTGAGAAATGTTGTTCTGACATTTATCGACTTAATCAACTATTAGTCGAAAATATGGCTGGGATCATTTTTTTATTTATTTTCTATTGATCGGGACTATGGTGTATAATATTTTAAATCTTAGTAACAATATTATAATATAATAATATGATTATATTAAACATGTTATTTAATTTTGTTATATTTATATTAAAAATACACGTATATATTATTATTATTTAATCTTTGTAGATTTATAGCTTAGAAAATTATGGAAAAGTGATATGGAGCAAAATTCTTGACTTGAGTTTTGCTAACTAAATAAATAGGGTCCTGCATTCCACATGATTTTATTTATTTTAAGTATATACATTTGCCTATATGTCTGGAATGATTTAACCATGGAGACTGCATACTCTCCATATGGCTTGAACCAATTCCTATGGGGTGGGTTCATTTGGAAAGATGCACTAACGAATTAGTCCCGTTTTATTATACATTGGCTTGATCGAAGCATAACATTCGAATAGTTGCAAGAAAATGAAATTAGAGTCGGCTTTTTTTTTGCAAAAATTATTTTTAATAATGTACAAGCTCGAAATGTCATTCTTGATTAAGATGGAGCGTTCAAAAAACTAGTGCAGGAAAGTAGTGCAATAAGTCATTTTACTTGATAAACTTTATAACATTACAGTAGATATAAGCTCGTCTAATGTGACAATTAGCGAAAATAAAAGGTACAGGAGACGAGAATGTCTTTAAGTGTTTTTTCGGTATGATGTGTAGAAAGCTCAATGTTGAGCCCGTACTTTTAAGAGATTATCGTAGATTTATTTTCATTCACTTAAATTAGATTCGTGAATTATATATTAATATAATCATTCGGTTCTATGACTTGTTATTAACGTATTTCTTTTTAAGTATAAAAATATTTGAACAGAAAACAGATTACTCGACTACTTGAGTAATTATTGACATTTATGCATAATTTTACTTACTTATACATAATTATATTTCAGATCGTATACTTGTCAGCGTCACAAATAAATTAAATCTCATAGTTTCAAGAAAATGTTGTTTATTTAAAATTGATTATATATCAATACATTTGCAAAACTGTAGACAAAATCCTTACATACATATGTACATAAGACATACAAATTATTTTTCTCAATTGTTTTTTGTTGGAAAAAAATCCTTAATACTTAAGCTCCTCAAACAATTATAAGCTAATTTGAGAAACAATTTCAATACAATAACTTATAAGAACATGTCCTCAATCATTGTTTTTACATTTTGAATAAAGATAGTAGGTATATAGGTATAAAATATTTAAAAAAAGCTTAAATATTTACGTTTATTACAACGAAATTACAAAATAAGAACGGATTATTTGTTAAAGAAGTTACGATAGTGTATATACTACTACTTAGTTTATATACAGTTTCAACTTTAACAAACAATCATTGTTTCCCTCACAATTATTATAAGTTAAAAACTATTATCTCTTGTTGAGATAAACACATAATAAAATATAGCGCAAATGATTGTAAATCATTGAATTAAATGTAACGCTGTATGTTTTTTATGCACATGTATATTTCATGCCTGTCAATCTTGGAATTCACCGTTAAAGGTTCAAAAGCTTTAAATTATGCTTGTGTCTAGTAGATCCACTATATTTTATACGAAATTTCTATACAGAAATCGTGCAACTTCGTGGCTTTGTATAGATATTTGTATTGTACAATTCAATATTAAAATCTTTAATGCATTCTAAAGTGTATATTAGTAGAACATATGATGCTCAAAAATAAAAAACAACTTTGGTAAATATCATCTTCATTACTACACTTAAGGGATTTAATTTATCTAATTTACAGAAAAATAAAATTTTTAATCAGGAAGAATTATGTGGTCACTGATGCTTATTCTAAAAAGTTACCTTAAATTAAAAATTGTTCAAAGTGAAATTGTAACAGTGCAGAGTATAGACTTTTATGGATTTTTTTATAATACTGTTGTACAAATTTTCTGTAGCAAAAATCACTTCTATATGCGCTGTACTGACTAGACACCATCAACTACCTAAAGCTTTCAATTTCTTATCTTAACAAAAATGATCGTTGTCAATGAAATTATTTTACGAAGATTTATGGCTATTGTACTTTTTCATTTTAAGCAACGTGACAATTAAAATACATACTTTACTACATTATAAAAAAGCTTTAGATAATTTCTTTGGACCCACTTTAATTTACATAGCATTTTTTGTTGAATAAATCTGAAATTTCATATTGCATATGTATATATGTAGGAGCTATTATATATATATATATATATATATTGAAGTAAATTTAAAAACTAAATTAATACTACGTCCAAAGAGAGTGATTGTCATACTATAATTAGACTTATAATGTATCATATTTTTAAGAGTTATTAAGCATTCAAGAACACAAATATTTTATGGATTAAAAAGCATTTGTTATTTTATAATCTACTTGATAGATTCAATCAAACGTATCAAAGCACTTCAATACCAAATAACTAATTATTTCTCGTTTTACTAATTTTAACTTTTTTATTTGATTAACATGCAATAAAATTTTTGTTGAAAAAGATTAAATACTGTATTTTTATTAAAACTTGCATCTAATTTAAACATGCAGACTTAAATTTTAACTTTTGTTGAAAGAAACGTACATTTTTTTGTTATTCTAAAATAAAATGGAATAAAATGAGAAAAACAATTATTTTTCCCACGTCTTTTGCATTTCTGGTCTTTTTACTTTATCAATGTCTACTATTTGTTTATGTTCTAAGCTTGAATAAACGTAAAGATTTTTCAAATATTTAATTCTGTATATAAAATAAAATTTTAAAGTTTTAGTTATTGACACTATTACTATAGAATAAAAAATGAAAATTTGTATTTCAACAAAATGTATAATACATATTTATAGAGTGCATTATAGACACGAAGACCATTTAAATAATATTGTAACCATTAATTCTAATTTTCTTATAATTAATGATATCACTTGAGTAAAATTATATCCAGAAATATAAGTAGTGTGGCTCTTACAATGTCTAACTAGTGACTGTTTGTAAATTAAATATCAGACATTGACTGCTGGTTTTAATTCCTTATTTACAACATAAAACTTATGTTTCTTACCAAATAAGCCCCATATTACTGCTACATTTTCAATGAACAAGTTGAAAGGTATAGTTGATAATGCGCCGCATATACAAAGCATGAATCGCGTAACGCCAAAACGATAGAGCGAGAATGACTTTACAACTCCAAATACATACATGTAAATATTTACAGCGCCAATAAAAGCACATAAGAAATCCATAATGGGAGGGCAGGTAATGGGACAAAGACCAGCAAGAATAATATTTGATGTAGATAAAGGGAGTGTTACCCACGAGTAGCAAGATATTCCAAGTAATAGTTTTGTCTTCAATGGAATTGCCTTAGAATGAACAACAAGTAATATTCCTTGCAGCCATCGTTTACGCTGTTGAACAAAATCCCATAGAGTAAATGGTGATTTTTCCCACATCTCTCCATCAATGAAATTGAAAGTATAGCCTTGAGAAAATGCTTTCATAGCAAAGAAGCAATCTTCTGCTACTGACCCATCTAAGCCATTATCAAATGATACTTGTTTTTCAGCACCCATCTAGGATTATCAATAATTAAATAACAAGAAAGATAGTAATTGATATTATGAAATAAAATTTAATAATTAAGACTTGAATTTTATAATTGATAAGTCAAAAATAAAATTAATAAAGATTATGAATATACTTTTGGTAAAAATTACTTTTTGTAATAGCTTGTAGTTAATTTTTAATTTTTACAAAAGGAATTTAAAAATTTTTATTTCTTAATTTGAAACACACAGAGTAATTGAATAACTTATTAAAACTTTTAGAAGTTTTTCTTCTATAACTGTTTGTTAAAAATTTTGGAATAAACTTACCTGTGTAACAACATAAGAACCTTTCATACTGAAGAGAGGTTTGTGAAACATGGTGAACTGCAATCTAAGTTTTCCCATATCATCTGCTACCCGAAAACTATCAGCTAAAGTGGTGATCCAATTGATTACATCTTCGTTGGCATAAGTAATTAGGCCTTGTCCAAATTGATATTTACCATCAAAAACAAAATTAAGAATTCCTCTAATGGAATTTTCAGTAAGTAGAGTTTCTTCATCTAAATGAACGATCCAGTCATGATCTGCCAATTCATTTACTGAATTCTCTAAGCAGTATTGCAAAGCTCTTGCTTTGAACAGTGCTCCACTACTTGTTCTGTAAGTTGGAGGCACAACAACTTCTCTTATTCTTCGATGGGATGCTAATCCAATTGGTTTATCACTCACTACTTCTATTTGAAAGTTTTCCAAACCAGCATCAATGCACTTATTCAAATTTTTATTAACATTAGTTTTGACTAATTGAGGATAATCACCACGCGTCACGACCCTAATACAAATAAATGGTGCGAGTAACGGTGAACCTTTGAGATCAACTTTGTCAGGAAAAGCATTGTATATAGTCAGTCCAATAAAATTGAACAAAACTTGAGGGAATGATAGAAACGTTAAAGTTCTTAGAAGGTAAAGAGTGACTGCACCAACAAAACCGTATTGAATCCATGGATCCAATTGTTCTTGGTCTCTTGGTCCCCAATGTAGGCCACCAGATACAAACTCAAATACTAAGATGACAGTTGCTAACAAGCAACAATGTAAAATGTGTTTAGTCCAGTTATTTAGCATTATACCTGAAATGAAAAGATCAGTTACAATTTATAATGCAAAATTGTTATGTAGCGTTCTTGTTCAACAAAATTTATTTGAATGAACTGTTGAAAATTATAAATATTTAAAATCAAAGTACCAAAAAAAAACATTTTCATCAGTCGCTATGTAAGTATATGAAGTTGTCATTCAAAAAGTTCATGACTCACAGTTGCTCAGGAATACAATCGAGATTACGTTTACAGTGATTAGTGGTAATGAATGCAATATATCGTTACGCATGAGTCATTTTAAAGAACAATACTTACGAACTTTTCCCTCTTACACTAGCTTTAGTCCTATAATCGCAGTGTGTTTATAAATTAAACTATAACTTTACAAACTCTAGGAAAACCCACCCTAACTTTTTAATTACTACTTTATGAGTTATTCCTAACTTCTTCACTCCACTCCATCCGTATTTGATATTTACCACCGCAAATGAAATATGAATATAACGTGATTCGTGATATAGCAATACAACTTGCGAGATAATCAAGTTTACGGTCAGAAATAAAGATATGCGAGTGTGACACTAGCTGACCCGTCACTGACGCTCGATCTCTTTCCGCCACCGTTGAATGGCGTTTAATGCGCCAAAACCTCAAAGCACGTGAAAATTATATCTATAAATATCTAGTGTTGAGCGCGCATCAATAAATATAGATATAATATTTACGTATTTTGAGGTTTTAGCATGCTAGCGCTATCCGACGGCGGAAGATTTTAGATTTGACTGCAGTTTGCTTACGGTTAGCTGACTATAGTAGCTGATTAGTGACAAACCTTGATCCGTTTGTGACTCTTCATTGATTTGATTATTTGATATTCTTGGGAAGCAAGGTTGACAAAGGCAGAAAGGCTAGCTAAGATAATCAATTTTATAACTTTTAACTAATTTCTTACATTCTTTTCATATTAACGTATCGAATCAATTTGCTGAAACATAATTTTTAAAGTGAGCTGTTTATTAACATTATTTGTAAAAGTTTTGTATAAACATTCCTTAATCGATGGAGTAGATTTCTACTAGCCGACTGAAATCGACTTCATTAAGTGTATTTGGCTCTATAACTTGGACAGCCATATATTTGTGTATATATAAATCATTATTATTCATTTATCATTATAATCATTTTCATCATCATCATCATTATATAAAAAATACAACTACAGGTATTGCAGTATATACTATAAATACAACATGGCGGTTCCTTCAACGTCGTTGTCATCAAGAAATAAAAAGCATTTTTTGGGTGTACCAGCCCCATTAGGATATGTTGCTGGTGTTGGCAGAGGGTAATATTGTTAACCATTTATTTAGTGTTAAATTATTATTCAACTTCCATATATGTACAATTGTTTCGTGTGTACAGAATTGCTAACCTCAAAATTTGTGTTATTTACGTTTTAGAGCAACTGGATTTACAACACGATCTGACATTGGACCCGCTCGCGATGCAAATGATGTTTCGTAAGCATAATTCAAATGATAAACAATATTTTGATTTAACTAATATAATTTATTAAGTATGTTTTTAAACTGTTTTTATTATTTAATTTGTACAGAGATGATAGACATGCACCACCAACAAAACGAGCAAAGAAGAAAGAGGAGGAAGAAGAAGATGAAGAAGATTTAAACGATTCCAATTACGATGAGTTTTCTGGTTATGGAGGCTCATTGTTTAGTAAGGTAAATTAAAACGTTTATAGTTATACATTTTTTTAAATTTTCATTACAACTTATGTGTAGAGAGTATTGATCAAATAAATTAAGTGATATTTCTTTCTTGATTTTTAAATACTTCTAGATTGCATTCAATCCAAATGAAACTCTACTAAATTTTTTGTAAAAATGATAATAAATTTATTTAAAAAGTAAAATAAGTAGAAAGTGTAAATAAAATCACTATAAAAGTGTAAATACATTTAATTTTGTTATTTAGGATCCATATGATAAAGATGACGAAGAAGCAGATGCTATTTATGAAGCAATAGACAAACGAATGGATGAAAAGCGCAAAGACTATAGGGAAAAAAGGTTACGTGAAGAATTGGAGCGTTATCGTCAAGAAAGGCCCAAGATTCAACAGCAATTTTCTGATCTTAAGAGAGATCTAGCTCAGGTATCTGAAAGTGAGTGGAGAAATGTGCCAGAAGTTGGAGATGCTAGAAATAGAAAACAGAGAAATCCTAGAGCAGAAAAATTTACTCCTTTACCGGACTCTGTATTAGCAAGAAATTTAGGTGGGGAAACTACTACAAGCATAGATCCTACGAGTGGCTTAGCATCTATGCTACCAGGTGTAGCTACTCCTGGAATGTTGACCCCAACAGGTGATTTGGATCTTAGAAAAATTGGACAAGCGAGAAACAATTTGATGAATGTGAAACTAAGGCAAGCTTCAGATTCTGTTGAAGGACAGACTGTTGTAGATCCTAAAGGTTATTTAACAGATTTACAGAGTACCATTCCTTCTTATGGAGACATAAAGTAAGTCGAATAGCTTAATAAAATAATAATATTTTAATTTTAATTTTTCAAGGACAATTATTTTTGATGTCCAATTTTGAAATATGATCATTAATTTTATTATAATTTGCAGTGATATAAAGAAAGCAAGATTACTTTTGAAATCTGTCCGAGATACAAATCCTAATCATCCTCCAGCATGGATAGCATCAGCTCGTATGGAAGAGGTCGTTGGAAAAGTACAAGCTGCAAGAAATTTGATAATGAAGGGTTGTGAAATTAATCCATCATCTGAAGATTTGTGGCTAGAAGCTGCTAGATTACAACCACCAGAGACAGCAAAGGCAGTAATTGCGCAAGCTGTTAGACATATTTCTACATCTGTCAAAATTTGGATAAAAGCTGCAGATTTAGAATCAGAACTGAAAGCTAAGAAACGAGTATATCGTCGTGCTTTGGAACATATACCTAACTCTGTTCGATTATGGAAAGCTGCAGTGGAATTAGAAGAACCAGAAGATGCTCGTATATTACTAAGTCGGGCCGTAGAATGTTGTCCGACAAATGTCGATTTGTGGCTAGCCTTAGCTAGATTAGAGACTTATGACAATGCCAGGAAAGTTTTAAATAAAGCCAGAGAAAATATTCCAACAGATCGACAAATTTGGATAACTGCTGCTAAATTGGAAGAAGCTAATGGAAATAAACATATGGTGGACAAAATTATTGAAAGAGCTATTTCTTCTCTTAGTGCTAATGGGGTTGAAATAAATCGAGAGCACTGGTTCAAAGAAGCTATGGAGGCCGAAAAAGCAGGAGCTGTTCACTGTTGCCAAGTTATTATTAAATCAATTATTGGAGTTGGAGTTGAAGAAGAAGACCGAAAACATACTTGGATGGAAGATGCAGAAACAGTAAGAATTCGTTTGCTATTCCTAATTTTATTGAGTAAAACATATTATATTTCAGATATTTTTCATATTAAAAGGTTGAAAAAATTGTATAAGTTACTTCTATAAAAATATAACAACATTTTTTCTCACAGTGTGCTCAACAACAAGCCTATGAATGTGCTAGAGCAGTTTATGCATATGCATTGACTGCATTTCCGAGTAAAAAGTCTATATGGCTTAGAGCGGCTTATTTTGAAAAAAATTATGGAACACGAGAATCATTGGAAACCTTATTACAAAGAGCAGTTGCCCATTGCCCCAAAAATGAACAACTATGGCTTATGGGTGCAAAATCAAAATGGCAAGCGGTAAGCTTTTTTAGCATATTTTTCTGTATAGTATTTTGAACATTTTCATCTTTCAACTTTTATTTGGTACAGGAAATAATCTTTAGTACAATCTACAGGGAGATGTACCAGCTGCAAGAGGTATTCTATCATTGGCTTTCCAAGCCAATCCAAATTCTGAAAATATTTGGTTAGCTGCGGTAAAACTTGAATCAGAAAATTCGGAATATGAGAGAGCAAGGCGCTTGTTGGCTAAAGCCAGAGCTTCTGCTCCCACTCCTAGAGTTATGATGAAAAGTGCTAGACTGGAATGGGCTTTGAATAATCTAGAGGACGCTTTGAAACTTCTTGATGAAGCACTCACAAATTTTGATGATTTTCCAAAACTATGGCTAATGAAAGGACAAATTGAAGAACAACAAGGTCATCTGGAAAAAGCTATTGAAACTTATAATCAGGGGGTAAGTTAACTGTAATATGAACCTAATTATAATTCTGTTCATTATAATAATAGTTTTTCATATTTAATAACTTATTGATATTTTTGTTATTATTTTCATTGATATCAATGAAACTATAACTTAGCAATTTATCAATTAAATTATTTCTAGATTAAAAAATGCCCTACGTCAATACCTCTTTGGCGCTTATTAGCACAATTAGAAATGAAAAGAAACAATTACACGAAGACTCGCTCAGTTTTAGAAAAAGCTCGTCTTAGAAACCCCAAAAATCCAGAACTTTGGTTAGAAGCCATCCGAAGTGAAATGAAGATAGCTGGTAATCGAGATATAGCAAATACTTTATTAGCTAAAGCTCTCCAGGAATGTCCCAATTCAGGATTGTTATGGGCTGAAGCTATACACATGGAACCCCGCCCACAAAGAAAAACAAAGAGTGTTGACGCATTAAAAAAATGTGAACATGATGTAAATGTTATCGTAGCTATTGCAAAGTACGTTGAAAATTTTAAATTATTACTTATTTTATAATGTAATTGGAAATAAAATCTTTTTTATTTTTGTTAGAATTTATTTAATCTTTTTTTTTCTTTTACAGGATGATGTGGTGTGATCCTAATAAAATAAATAAATGTAGAGAATGGTTCAACAAAGCTGTAAAAATAGATGCTGACTTAGGCGACGCATGGGCTTACTATTATAAATTCGAACTTTTGAATGGTACTGAAGAACAACAAGAAGAAGTTAAACGACGTTGTGTAACAGCTGAACCTCGGCACGGTGAAAATTGGTGTAGAGTTTCTAAAAATATTGCCAATTGGTGTCTAAGCATTGACCAAATTTTAGTTTTAGTAGCAAAGGAATTACCTATTCCAATTTAGAATAATTTTTTATACAATATATAATGGCATTTTTCCAATTCTATTTTCATTTTATTAAAAAAAAAAACATTGATAACATTGTTTGTGAATATTATAATACGTTAAGAAAAAACAAAAAAAAACAATTTTTTAAAAAGTAGTATGGTATACATATACATATGAATTTGTATCGGCCAACGTTGGTAATGCTTCAAATATGTTTCGAAATCTTAACTTCTGTTAAGCTTTCTATAGTAAAATGTACAATGCTTAGAACACAATTTCAACTAAAATTTATGTGGCTATAATGTACTCATGATTTTACATTTGAACTGATTATAAAAAATTAAAAAGAAAACGTCAATTTTTGTTGATTTTATTTAGTCCCAGTACTGAATTAAACTTTACAATTTAATATAGGTGACCTGTATTGGATCAAAGATAAATTAACTTGTACATTATTTAACTAGTGCGGTAAAGTAGATTCTTGTTTTGTGTGAAGTTTCCAGCTGAACGAAGGCTTCGTGTTTGGGTGGAAACTTCGCTAATACTTTCACGGCCTTAGGTTGGGTTGTAATCTACTATAACATTTGGTATATCATTTGAAATAAATAAAATGGTATGTTTTGAGATTCATATAAGAATGATGATATTTTAACTGAATTTTTTTGAAAAAAGTTGTTTAGATTTTATTTTTTTATTATTCGAAGTTTATTTACAATTTGTCTAAAATAATCAGACAATAAGTGAATGTATTTATTAGGTATGTATTTACACGTCAAACATAGTAGAATAATCTAGAGAGCTTTCTGTCTTGATTTTAAAATATAGTGTAGCAAATAAATTGAAATTTATTTATATATTCATAAATTTATATTTCTTGAGTCTAGCGTTAGTGATGAATGACTTAAGCAGATTGCTGATTAGTTTATTTGGGTGGTTTTGTAATCTGGTGTTGTATTTTTCGTAGAACGTTTTAATTTCTTCTTTAACGAATAGTACCTATAGGCCATGACGGATAATTTCGTTTGGGACAAACTATGGTGCATGCACGATATAAGGATTTTCGATTGAAATCTTTCCAGGATATTAAAATTTAAGTTTGAAGTAAAATCCCATAGTTGAATGCCATCGATCCATATTGGTTTAAGTACAGCTTTATATACGGTAGCTTGTTTTTTTGTAAACCTCGATTTTCCTCAGATGAATCAGTACATTTTCCTCAACGTTAATCCCAGTTGTTTCTGTTTTGTGAACATGTGTTCTTTCCATTTAAGTCTCGAGTTTAAGCGTATATTTTACGTGATAACTTAGCGGAATGTATTCATTATTAAATTTCATAGGTGGGCAAGAATTTTTTTTTAAACGTGTACGTTGTATATATTGATTTATTTATTTTTATTTACTATAATTCTCTATAAGTTAAACCAACTGCAAAAACAGTCATTTAAATAAATTTATAATAATTCATATGCTATTATTGCCTCCGAGTGTGATGTTAAAATAGTTGTATCGCCTGCCTATGTTGCTGTCGTGAAGCTTCGGTATATTCGAGGTGTATAGCAGATAAAATGTTGGCCTTAAAACCACTGCTTCGTCCTATTTTTATTAACTGGTATTTTTATTTGCATTTTAACTGTATTTGAAATTCAGATATTAGTAATAAATATTGATACTTTTTTCGTATCGTTAATTACAGAAGTGTAACATCAAGATGAAAAAATTACCAATATTAAAAATGATGTGACGAATAATTTATGCTTTTTTCTTAAAATATCTCAGCAAATTTTTCTTAAAAATTTAATATCAGCAGTAAATATATTAGCGATAAGGGGGACTTGCAAGCGAATCAAATGTTTGAATTCTTCAAATAACAAAAAAGAGATAAGAGGAATAAGGTACCCTATGATAAAAATAGGAGTTGTAATGGAAATTTTTTAATATTGTAGAAATAAGTGAATATGTTTATATTATAAATACTCGACAGAAGAGGATTCAAGATATACTAAAATTGGGATGAATAAGATTTTCAATTGTTCATTTTTTTTCTTCAACTTACTTAGACAGATAAAATATTGAAAGGAACTGTAATTATGACAATATAGCACATTTGAATACTAGTGCGAGAAAGTAATTGCAGTCTCGTAAGGACGTTTGCGCCCAAGCGAAGCGATGGTAAAGAGGCCACGCGAAACTGAAATTACTTTTCTCGCATTAGTATTCACATGTACTGCTATATGAGCTGCTTATTTTAAGGAGATAACAGATCCACGATTAAAATATTTGATTTGTTTGCTAGATTATGCGGCGATTAAAAATCTTTACTTCATGTTATTAAAATATTACTAGTGAAAAATACTGTCCGTTCAAAGCTTCGTTCTCTACGTTGTATGTACGAGAAAGAATGAATGAACGAAATGCTGGACCAGAATCTGTCATAGAAATGTATTTTTGCGTACGCCCAATAAATAAATGTACGAATTTTACATGGCATTATAATTTGATCAATTGCTAGCAATGACGATATTTGCGTCGCTATATACTGGCTTGATATTACAGGGGAAAATCTGTACTATTTTATATGAACTTTCTAAAAAATTCTCAACTCACTATTTATAATAAGATCATCGAAGAGGAAGTGCCGCACATGCTCGTTAATTGAGAAATAACATGCGAAAGAAGCGAAAGAGGGAGGCATGTTATAGGAGTAGAAAATAGGTGTCGATAGGCTGATCGCAATCGAAAACGTAAGCGTGCCCGGCTAGGTGATAAGCGCGGATGGGCAGGGGGCAGAAAAGTGGCCGATGCCGAGGCGTAGAGCGGCGAGGACCGAGGAGCGTGGCGTCGGGCGAGCTTGCGCCTGCGCTTGCAGCGAGGGGACGCAAAAGAGCCGCGCGGGCGTCGCGAGCAAGTTCGCAATGTGGTGGTCGCGGCGCAGCGCGCACGGGAGCCGCGTGCGAGCGGCGAGCGCGCTGGCAGGAGGAGGAGGCGGAGGAGAGGCGCTTCCGAGCCAAACAAATGCAGCGCGCGCGCGGCGCGCAGTGAGCGAGACAGAAAGCGGACAGCGCGAGAGCACGGCAACAGTCCGCGGGCGAAGATGCGCCGAGCCGCCTGACATCGCAGTCGCAGCTTTCCTCCTCGACGCGGTAAGCAGCTAGGCGGCGAGCGCCGAACCACTTCTCGCTCGCCCTGCTGTGCATACACCTGCCTCTCATCGATTCGCCGCTCGCTAGTGCGCTACTCGTCGCACGACCACGGCCTGCGCTATGTCCACGTCGCAGCCGGTTACGCTGGTTAGTATCCCGCGAGCTTTTACTCTCTCTCTCTCTCACTCTCTCTCTCTCTCTCTCTCTCTTTCTCTTTCTCTCTCCCCTTCTCCTCCGCTCTCTTCTTCTTCCTTTTCCTTGCAGACTTTTTTACCACGCACGCATACGTGTCTCGTTAATGTTGCAGCGATCGCTGCCGCCGAAGATCGATCGATCCACGCTCTTTCTCTCCTTCTTTTTGCCGCTACCTGGCCCCTTCTCATTTCTCTTTCTCTCTAGAAACCAGCTCGCTACCTTCCAGCGCGTAAGCTCCAATGAAGCCCTCCTCGCATTGCTAGTCGCTCCCATACCAATACTTTCATATCAACCAGCTCTCAATTCCTTTCGGCGCACAATCGTCATTTTTAATCGTGTCGCTGTTGTTTTCACAACGCCCCAATCACAAAAAACTATATCCACTGGCTTATCCTCGCCTCACGTGATAATTTTAATGACGTTTCTAAAATTAGCATTTCTCTATCGACTACTCTTTCGTTACATCGTTTTCAATAACAGAGCGCTGTGTTTTTGCATCGTTTTATTTGAGCGGCGATTTATCAAGCCCAAAATAAGTCTCGATCGAACAACTTACAAATACAGCTACATCTTTGACAATGCAAATACTTCACTTCTAATCTAGATCGTGCAAGGTAAACATCTTGATAATCCACCTTATTCGATTTACATCTTGGATTGTTTCAAGTGCTTGCGCTAACAGCTAAATCACCTCGAAAGTCAAAGTCAAGTCGCCAGTCGCTATTTTTTAACTTTTGTTTAAACTTACCGATAATTACTTACTTTTACATACTTCAGGCATTTTATCCATGCACAATTAAATTCTTATCATTTTTAATTCTTAACACTGGGTATTACTGTATTTCATCAAATTATTCTGGCAAACATTTGATTGCTGAAAACTCAATCAAAATAATAGTTGTATAATTAATTTTAATAGTATTGTATAGACAAAAAGTAAGAAAGGAAAGAATAGATGGTTTATTGAAAAATAAATTGGCAACTATTACGAACAATGAAATAATTTTGAATGATTTTGTTAAAGGATAAGGTTGCCGAGTAAAAAAAGAAAAATAAAGTCTTAGTAAAAATATTGATAGTGTAGATTGAACACAAATTAAGTTTTTTAGTCTATAAGCAAATTGATTGTCAAGGGAGTCTGACTTAGTGCTGGTTACTACTTGGACGGATCGAAATGAGAGTTAGCTAGCGTGTCTGTTCATTTCACGCGTGGTATGAAATTTCCCATTGGGCTTGTTTTTCAATGCGATGATAAATATATTTGCATTTATTAACTTCCAATTGTCATAGTTAACGTGAAAGCATTGACTATGGTACAAACGGTTTTAATTAAAAAGCTCGTCAACGAAGCTGCAATTGATCAACGTGTGCGGAGTTGATGATAAAACTGTCGTGCTCTTTTGATTTTTAGAAAAAGTGCGACTCGTATATTATGGTTGTTTGGAAACTATATTTGATATGAAAGATATAAATACGTAATAAATATCAAGTACACATCAAAATTAACCTACATAGATCGAACGACGATTATAACAATAGAAATCATAACAAAGGAATGGAAAGACGGTTAACCTTCGAAAGTTTGGAATAAATGTAAATACGAAGTCGGAGCATTAAATCGATCGTTCGTGACCTTTACCTTCTACTTTCGGGCTTTCAATCAGATTCATGACACTTGGGTTTTTGCCGTGTTCGCTAGTTTTAATTTTCGTCATTTCGACTGTATAAAGCACAAATATATTTTCTTGTATTCATTTCCATCTAAATATTACGCTTTCATTGCACTCTTCAATAATGATGCATACTTCAGCAAGCATCCATTCCATTAGTTAGATAATCATATGTTACATGGAAACTTACCGACACGAACATCAAACCGGAATGCCTTTATTCGCTAATGGCCAATTGGAGCTATAGTTTTTTCTTCGACGGTATTTGATTCGAAATTGTGCTGACGATACGTGCGATCAAAATTAATTTTGTTGACACTGCGGTTTTACTTAAACTTCAATTGGTATACGCAAAAGTTGAAATACAATTACGCATTTGTTATGTGGTTTGCCTAAAGTATTTTATTGCGTTTGGACGTAGCCGTATTATAAGATGTTTCTTTTTCATCGCAGAGACTGACAATCGAGGCCAAAGATAACTCGTTTGACCGATTCTAAATAATTCCACAATTGACCTTGAAAATGAACGCAAGGCACGTCGAGTCGACGATGAAAGTCGAACAGATAAATGATTGAGCCTGCGATTAATTGATAAAGTATAGCCGAAAACGCAAAAGTATAAACAGGCCGAAGGTTGAAAGCTGAGAACAGCCGTAGCCTCGGCTTCCTGTCCGGATGTTTTACATCATAGAGAGGTAGATAAGGGGCGAGTTACGTTTGCATGAATTGCAGGTCGCGCGGTAGCTGCGGTCCCCAGCCGAAAGGAAAGCCGACGGATGGAGCGAGACAGGGGGCGATCGGCGAACGAACGACTGCTAGGAAAAGCCCGATGGAGAAAGACGGAACGGAACTGGAGGCAGGCCTGAGCTCGCGTTCGCCGTCGTATCGCGTGCGCTTTGCTGACGCTGCTTCCGGGTGCACGTGCACCGCTGCGCGCTCGCGGCCGGCAACCTTGGCCGTCGCCATTGTCCCTTTGATTCCGACCTACATCAATCGCGGCAACATCCTCTTTCTCGCACGGCTCCCCGATAGCAGCTTCGAGCGCGCGAGCTTTCGTCTTTGTCCTCGCTCTGCGCTGTGCTCACCGTCGCGATATGCAGCTGTGATGTTTGCTCATGTTGCTTGTTGCAGCAGCTGTGGAGTGTCGGCCCGAAGCTCATACCGTTCCTCAAGACCGCCTGCCTTTATTTCGTGCTGCAACCCGACCAACCCTGCCTCTCGACTGTCTGCTTCAAGTGCCTGCCCATCATCAGTCTCATAATCTTCATCTTCTTGAACGGCATCAGCTTTTCCAAAGAGTAAGTATGGTAGTTTCGGCGAACCACGCGCTCTGCCTGTTCCTTACATTTTAAGCACCTTCGAAGGCTTCAAACACTTGTTTATTTTTAGGCACGCCTTCAGTCGGCGAATATTGACGGGACTGATTTTTAGCTGCTTCGGCGATGCCTTTCTTGTCTGGCCAAGTTGTTTTATCCTCGGTGTCTGTATGTTCGCTGTAGCTCAGATTATGTACATGACTGCTTTTGGATTTGCCCCGTTCAACGCCAAACTCGGAGCATTCGTCTACGCTTTGAGTGCAATGAGTAATACACTAGCGCAGTCTCTCTCTTTCTCTCTCACTCCGTACATTTCGTACGCTGCACCGACCGACCCCCACATTCTTCCATTACCCTATTTTTATGTTTTAGTCATCTATACGCTAATGCCCGGTCTCGATGGCGTTTTGAGAGTTGGCGTACCAGTTTATACGCTGCTCATAGGCACCATGTCGTGGCGAGCTGTAGCGAGAATACAGGTTTTCAAGGTAACATCATATTTTTCACTATCGTCTCTCGTCGTTCTACTCTTTTATATAACATACGTCAACGTACTTTTATGCGATTTTTTCAACACCAACGTATTTTTGGTGTTGCTAGAAACCATGGACATGGACCAAGTTCTGTGGCGGACTTGGAAGTATTTTATTTGTTATATCCGACACTCTACTCGGATTTCATCACTTTCACGGACCAGTTCCTTTTGCTCAAGTATGTTTTCTTATTTATTACCTATTCATGGAATTTCTAGATTTACTAAACACTTGATTCTCATTGCAGTATTCCATTATGTCAACGTACTATGTAGGACAACTAGGCATAACTTTGAGTACCGTAGATACAATAGACAATAAAATATCAGTCGCCAAACGATGAGAAATAAACCTTTTAAAATTTTTACTCTTGAATCATCGACAATAGATATTGGTTAGTGCGAAATATTGTTACAATTCAAAAGGTAGTTGCAAATATTTACACTGCCACGCGAAAAATAATTGATGGTAAATTCTTCTTAGTAGATTCTTGTAAATGGAGCCAATATTTCGATTATGAATACGTTAATTACGCTAATTTTCAAGTGTTAAGGCGTTTAGCTGCTAAAATTACGTTCAACTGTCCAACCGTACAGTTCCATCGTTAAAAATTCTAGCAGCATAGTTTTGTACGTGGATTACTATTACTTGTAATAGGGATGGCAGATCACGCCTGATCTGACATCTTTCATTGATCTGATGCCCCCCTCCCTCCGATCAAACATCTCTCTAGCCTACCTACTCTTGTGAACTATAATATAATGTTAATGGTATTTTATATTCTAACCGTATATGCTGAACGGTTTATTCATCGGTTCAACGATGACATATTATGTAAATGTGAAAAAATGAAGTACAAGTTATTAAGTAGTTTCACAACATATTTATACTAGATCAATTGACCTTAGAATTTTTAGAATTTATGACATTTGATAGATCATGTCACGGACATTGAGTGATTAGATTTTGAAATAAATCAACCATGTTATATTATTATTGTATAATCAGTACCATATGTATTTCTTAACAATCGATAGAATTCCATTCGTTACCAATGACGATTAATCATTGATTCCACAGGTTTAAACAAATGCAATTTAGTAAAACTTAGCTAATTATATGGCACAAGGTTAAGCTTCCTTGTTCATACAAATTCATTTAAAAACTAATTGTTATTTTTTTACAAAATACATGACGAAATTGAAAATGTGCATATCAGTTCTTGCGTTTGCAATACTTTTCACAAAATGTACAATAATGAAAGTTATGATATGATAGCATCACAATAGATAAATATCTCCGGCGTTAAAAAGAATTCAGTGTTAAAAAATAATACATGTTAACTTAAACGTTGCAATACTAAATACCGATAATAAATATCGATCCATAGTTCAACAAATTTATAACATTTTCAGCAATGACAAGGTGTATGCAGTGTTAATATTCTAATCTATATAATGGAGACTGATGTACAAAAATAATCTGAAAAAAATGTAGTTATTATTGCGTGATAATCTCTGGCCAAACTATACTAAGATACTTTTTAATGTGATTTTTCAATAACTAATAATAACCCCCCCCCCCCCCCCAACTTGAACTCAACGATTTCAATAATTTTTTTATATGTACTATCCCCAAATCTTACCCCGAAACCCGTTTTCTTATTCTATCACAGCATATAATGTATAGTTTTTAATAAAACCAAGTAGAAAATATTTGTCATAATAAGTCTAAGATATTGAGTGTATTTCTAGTTTATGGTGTTGCAACCTTCACTTAATTTTTTTAAACTAGATTTTTATTTATTTATTTTTTATTTTCATGAAAACCAAAGTATGTATACTCAACGAACATTTAAGTTAATACGTTTCAGGATTTCTTAAATAAACACTGTTAACTACTCTTTAAAGTAGTAGACCGTATTTGGTGATTAAACGTTAACTTATTCCTTAAGATTTATTCGAAATAGAATGAAATTTATATTAAAAGTAAACATATCATACATTTTTTACAATAGTAGTATTAAAAAATCACCTCTTAAAGTGAATTATTAAATATTATTTGAAATTTCAATAAATCACAGTGTCTTATTCTACAAAGTGTTGACAATAATGGTAATCTTCAAAAAAATGTTTAAAACATGATTTTTTACACCAACCACATCGTATAATATAGCAATATCGTTACATTCTTCTATTCCGTAATTTACATTGCAGGAATCTCCAAAACTAAACTCAACAGTATTTTCAAATTTATCTGGTTTATCATAAATGTAACCTGCTTTTGTACTAGAAATATTTAAACATATTTTTATAGTTTGGTGAAAAAAACTAATTATGAACAAAAGATTGCATTTTTGTGATGTTATTTCTTAAATATAAATCTAATCGATTAAAATCACTTGACCTGAAAAATGTACGAAATTTTTTCCGATACAAAATCCATACATATCAAATAGTTAAATCTTTTCTGTTGTTCCTGTTCACGTTTCTTACGTTAACAATTTTATTTTTTTGCATCGTTTCTTCTACAACTGTTACGCATAAAATACTTGTTCTAATTAATTCTAAAGGGATCTATAATCAAAAATATATTCACCAACTCATTTTATTTATTTTTGCATTATAATAAACAAAAAATTACTCGCCTGTAGTTAGTTTTCTAGATTTAGATGCTTCTACATACACATTTTCTGATCTTAAAAACTGTTGTTCCATAACAGGGTCGAATGGACCAGTTGATTCTTCTAAAATGACTAAAAGTGGTGAAAACAGTTGTCCAGTAGTTGATATAAGTTGTTGTATAGTGTAACTATTTGTTGTATAACGATGAAACTGACTGTACCAGGTATTGCATGTTTTTCTCCTTCAGGTGTGAATGTTTTTCCAGAATGCATTTCTAATTAGAACCCACTTTCAAGAGAAGTTTTGAAATTAGATGCGTGCAGTTTTTTCTCTAGACGTACCCACCTTTATTAATCGTGCAAGTTCAACGTTTTAACTAACTGATCGATGATACTTTTCTGAATCTTTTTTTGACTGTTTCAATATTAAAAAGTTTCATTTTTCCGTTTTTGTAATATTCTATGGCCTTCTGTTGGTAATCAAAACAGAATATAATCAAAATTCTGTTTGTAAGCAAAACAAAATCATGTCTTCAGTATCTTTCATACACTGGTTTACTATGGCGCAACGTCAGTATAAGGAAAATGATGTTGAACTTCATCTTCAATTATTTCAGCATCAACATTTTTATATTCTTCATGAAAATCCAATGTTCTTCAAAAAGCTTATATTCACTTCATTTAAGTCATTTGCGTCATTATATTGATTAATATTTGTTTACATTTTTCTTACGACTCCATTTCTTTATCATTTGTCACGCTATTTAGTATATAAGAAATATGCTAATAATAAATTTACTACATTTAAAGGATTAATCTTCATCTGTGAACTTAAAATAATAACATAGAATAAATCTTTATTAGGATTACTTCATCGGTGCAGAAATATAATTGAAATAAGATTTGAAAAATTGCGAAGTATATACTGATACTTTATAACATACTAGCTCTTTACGACGCGCTTTGCTTGACACGTGACCATCTATCAGCTAATCAAATTACGAACAAACTGATTTCACTTATAGACCCATCTCCTTTTATAGAAGAAAAATTGAATTATTAAAAAAATTGAAATGATTTAAACAAAAAAATTTAAGTGAATATTTTTTTAAAATACTACTTTTGATCTGAATAAAAAATAATAAAATCTTTTGAATTAAATTAAAAAAATCATTTTAAAAAAACAAATAAATCACAGGTAATATAGTACATTACGATACAAGTGCTTATTATAATCGCTTCGCTCGGGCGTAAACGCCACACGAGACAAGAATCCACTTTCTCGAACATGTGCCGTACCGTATTTTTTGATACGACGTCTGGAAAGTGCGATTTTCAACGCACGTTTTCTGTCGAGTGTGCAGGAAAGACGCACTTTGCGCACGGAGTGTCGAAATAGTACATTACGATACAAGTGCGGGAAAGTAGATTCTTGTCTCGTGTGGCGTTTACGCCCGAGCGAAGCGAGGGTGGAAAGGTACACAAGACGAAAAACTCTCCCGAACATGTGCCGTACCGTATTTTTTTATACGACGTGTGGAAAGTGCGATTTTCAACACACGTTTTTTGCCGAGCGTGCGGGAAAAACGCACTTTCCGCACGGAGTGTCGAAAAAATACTTACGTAACTACTTGAAAATTAGATGATTATATGAAAAGAAATCTATACCATTGATCTTATAGATCTGTATGCTTAATAATCATACGTGTATATCTTTCCACATAAATATAGACGTGTTGGAGAAAACTAAAAGATTTAACGTTTTTAGTATATCACTACAATAAGGGAATTTGTGAGTGCATTATTACTCTTGAAGATTCATGAATAATGATAAGTTGAATAAATTCTTGCTTTCAAGCCATACAAGAGTCAAGGGTTAGAGCAATTGGTCGCAGGTTATAGGAGTCAGGAGTTAAGGTAATTGGGGTTCATGGATCTGAGCTTATAGGCCTTGCATGTTACAGAGGTCGTAGGTTAAGGCGATCGAAATTTAAGGGTTTGGAGTATTTAGCGATTGGGCTGTTTTAATGTTGTTGCGAAACTGCTAGAATACTAATCTTCAGTCAATGATATCTCGATGGTAAAAAATAACTCTAATTCAAAAAACGCGTTTTAATGGGCAAGAATGCTGCATCGTCATGACTACTTATTTAAAAAAAAATTTATTAGCGGTATTTCATAACCTCGAACATATAGCAAAATATTATGATTTTTGCACTTCTAGGATAGGAAATCTTGAGAATCTTACGAGATAAATCAATTCTGAAGTCAGATTCGTATTCAGCACATCGAAAACCTACGTAAATATATAATATCGCGTTTCTAGGTTTTTTCCATTTTGAAATTTTGTCAGCATGTGTTATATTATACAAATAATTATAACGGAGAAGATAATAATAAAAATTACTCCGATATACTCTTAAAAACATTATAATTGATTAACTTATTCAATATAAGTATTTTAGAGAAAAAACTTTTTTACCAATTACATACGGTTTCCCATCTTAAGGATGGATAACGGTGCTCGGGAATGGTTATTTAAAAAATTCTGGCAAACGATAATTAAATGTTCGGTATGATAAGCAGAAATACTTTCTTAACTTTTTTAAGTTCATACTTTCGTTTTCATGAAAAAAAGAATAAAAATCCTGTTTGAAAAAAATATAAAATAAGGGTTGCAACCCTCAGGGCCATAAATACACTTGATATCTTAGACTTCCTACAATAAATGAGCCGTTTATTTTGAAAGTGACCTAACTCCATTTTTCAATTTTCTGCCGCTTACAATGGTTACATGTACAACTTCATGTTATTTATCAGTGACGCACTTCAGATTGCTTATATTCAAAGAAAATACGATACATTTTTTACACATAAGTTTTCCGAATTGATTGAACGTATATTTTTAAATTCATTCTAACGCAAAACTTTTAATATCTCGATTTGAAGATGAATGGAGTTAGGCCACTTTCAAAATAAGCGGCTCAAATATTTTCCGCTTGGTTTTATTAACAAATATTTAATAGATGCTAAGATACAACGAAAAAAATTATTTGAAAGGTACGATCGGAACAAAAAGAAAAATACATCTCTCATATTTTGTCGAGTACTATAACAAAAAAATTGTTGAAATCAAGAAAGTCAGGGGTTTCCTGCAAGTCATTGTTATTAGTGATTGTTTTCGAGCAACACGGAAAATATAAATATGACATGTATCTGTATTCTTATACTTGTAAGTTTTTGTCCGTTCAATCATAAGAACTCAATGTATTTGGTATAAATAAAAATATAGTAAACTTTATGATGAATATTCATTTATTTTATTAAACATAATTATAAAATTGTGATCTTAACTAATTCAAAAGTTGCTGCTTTGAAGTATAATTACTTAACTTTATATGTAAATTGGCTATTTTTTAATAATATAGAAATAACTAAGAAATTTTGTACAAGTGTATCATTTGCAAATATCATTTAAGTGATTTAGAATCTTTACATAAATGAATTTGACTTGCTCTTTTTATATAATAAAATCGAAATAGTATAATCTCCTTATCTATGTCTTATCTTTTTTGCTTTTTTTACTAGTATTATCTTGTTCAATTTTACTTCTTTTGGATAATTTTGAAGCGATTGCATCTTTTTTTTCTACTAACTTTCTTTTCGCAACGCCTGTTGTCTCCTGAAATTCGTCTTCAGATCCACCTTTGTCATGATTCACGTCTATAAGATTTTTAGCAGCTGCTGCTCTTTTTCTAGTCATTCTAATTCCATCATTGTTTTCAAAATTCAACGTAGCATCGATCTTCATATCGCTTCCACTTGATTTTTTATTTGAATCGTTATTAGATTTGTTTTTATTAATTTTTTTCGTTGTTGCTTTTCTAGAAAAGTTGTTTCTTATACTTTCTAGTTTTTTATTATTAATTTCCTCCTTTTCCTCGTATTCGTCATCCGATAATATCTTGTTCGTAATTGCTCTAGATTTAACGTTTGACGGCTTTTTAATTTTCAAATCATTGTTATAATCTTTGCCATTTTTGGCAACAACCTTAACGGGCTTTTTTTCTGGTACGGAATTTTTTTTTGTATTTGTGGTTTGTTTTTTATGTGATGAATTTGTGTCAATTTCTTCATCTTTAAAGTTATACTTCGCTGCTAGTCTCTCTCTAATGATCAAACCTTTAATAAGTTTTTTCCAATTTCCGTAAATTCTTTTTTCTCGTTTCTCCTTCGCTCGTTTTTGAGCTTCAATTTGTTCCTCTTCCCATGCTTCCCGTAATGTATCTTCGTATTCTTCACAAACAACGTATCCTTCAAATGCAGGTAATGCACCACGGCAACCAAAATTAAATCCAACGCATGCTTGTGCACAATCAATATTCAATTTTCGAGCAATTCTGTTTAATCCTGGAACTATAACAGATAAAATATTTGATTATATAGGAATCAAAATAACGTTCTTTTTGAAAGAATATTTATACTATGTAATGTTTCAGAAAGAAAATAAATTCTTATTAAATTACATTTTTTAATGATGCTACGTTATTTTTGTATAAGAAACAATTTTATAGCTTAGATACATACATGTGCCACATTGATTATTGCAATAGAATATTTTTCATGGTATTCGTGAATATTTTCTATCACATTTCTACCTTGACATTATTGATTTCTATCATATTTAACACATCTGTTAGCTATAATCTCTGCTAATTATCATGAAAAGATGTTCATTTTTCAAAAGTTATTTACAATTAAATAAAAAATATATTTTGAAGCAAATATTTCGGTAACCATTGAACCTAACAGGTTAAACTTTTTCTAGAACTATTCATAACAACATATACTCCAAAAATATAAACAGTAAATCTCAATTTATTTGTTAATAACTATTGGATCAACTTTTTTATAAATATCAGGTTAACTCAAAGGTTCGAAAAATTTTGTCCCAACGACTTCCTTGGCATTTTTTTTTATTGAAAGAAAAACCTTTGATCTATTGCAGAATATACGCAGTAATCAATAAACGAAGACAATACACAGCGCATCGGCGTCAGACCGCCTCTTTCGGTATTAAGCTCTGCTCGAATCTGCGAGAGTTTTTCATGTTTGGCATAAATTTCAGTTGTTTTCTGTCTATTTATATTTAAGGTAGTTCAATTTGAATATTTATAGTTATTAATTAACATTGACATTTTTAATTAATATCCGTCAAATGGAAATGAAAAATTAATTGTGTTACTTTTAAAAAATTGTGTAGTAACTCTAGTAAAATAACAAAAACCTATATTGCTCCATATTCCTGAAAAAATACTTGTGCTTTTCCTATAACAATTTGCTTATTTAAAAATTATTTTTACATTTTTTCAAACACTTAGAGCATTATATTGAGTTTATATTACAAACTCGAATACCAATCAGAACGTTTGAATGCCGTCATATTCAATTAGTTCTAAAGGCATTGCGCTACCTCAAAATAAATCAAAAATACTCTTAGAATTCACCGAGAAATTAAAAGAAAATTCTTTTAAAACAACTGAAGCTTCTATTAATGGGCATGTTTTGAGTGTCCATGATTCAACAAAGTAAAAGGTAAATTTGCGATTTTTTAAACAACTGTAGAATTGAAAGTATCACAGTATAACGGTGAGGTTATCGAGCCAATTATGAACTTATTGTAAGAGAATTCATTAAAGATACATTTTAAATAATTGCTAATATTAAAAATTTTTGAATACATTAATACATAGATTTTACGTCAAAATGATTTTTTTATACAATTATTTCAAATTTGAAAGAAAGTGGAATTTATCACTTTTCGATTTTACAGAAAATTCTTGTGCCATTACTCGATATGAAATTCAACCTACCTATTTTAGAAAAAAGTACATTATAGATTACTCTACATTTCCAGTTTTAATTTATAGAAGAGTAAATGTCAAGGTATTTCATAAATGTTTAATTATTATTTCGCAAAGTTTACAACATGGCACTGGAGAAGTAACATTATTTTAAGATAAATATAGAATTTATTAAAGGGTTAGTATACAGAAGATGTCAAAAATTTATTACCTTTCAGACATTGATTCCACAATATAAAAAATCTTAATTTTCTAAACTTACTATAAGTTGGTTTACTTGTTTATTAATTTGTAATAGACAATTTTTTATAATAATTTAAAGTATGCCGTAGAAACAAAAATATTGTGGTATATATTTACTAATTATATCCCTTCTATGAATTTAATAAATATAAATTATAAGCGTTAATATGAATTTAATAAATATGAATTATAAGCGTTAATATGAATTTATTAATAATAAGTATTGAAATTGAAGCTGTTATAAACGGAAGTGGACAGAAAATTGAACTCTAAATGAAACGTCATCGACCGTCGCAGATTAGAGCAAAGCTCGATGCCGAGAGAAAAAGCAGCTAAAGGGCGACGTGCAGTGTGTGGTTTTTGTTTATTGTTTACATTGCATTTTCTGTAGTATCTTACACATTTTTATTATTTTTTTTTTTTTCAATAGAAAAAATGTTAAGGAACAGCTGGAAATAAGAATTTTTTAGATAATATTTTACCTTTTCAAGTTATAAGCTAATATTTATAAAAAACGTTGATAAAATTGTTATTAAACGATTAATTAGACTTTACTAATTATATTTTTGGAGTACTTATTGTTATGAGTATTTTATAATAATTTTATCCTAATAGGTTCAATAGTTACCGAGATATATGCTTTAAACAAAGTACTTTAAATATTTAAAAAAATAAACATATTAATTTGAGCATTAGGAAAAATGTTTATCGTAATATACCCAACAAATATACCAAGTATGATGAAAATCGATGATATCAAGGTACAAACTTGGTCGACACTATTTAGACTGGCTCCAATAATGTGTGTTGCACAATGTACTGGCACTACTTAAAAAACATAAAAATATTTCATAATACTTTTTATGGCCGTGGAAGTTAATGCATTAAAAAATTATTACTTAATAGATAACTTCGAAAAATGAATATATCATGAATACATGTTATTACATTATTTTTGAATTGTTTTAAAAACAGTAACTTACGATTTATATATACAGTTCCCTTTGGAAGCATACACATTTTAAACAGATCCACATTTCCATATTCATTTCGTGGCACTGTACCATTCTTTGCTTCTGGTGGAACATATGCAAAAGTTTGCCATTTGCCAAATAATTCCAATGGTTGATCTTTAATTTTTTGCCCTGAAAGCTATGAATGGAAAACATAGTTATTTTCATTGTAGGTATGTGATGTGCATTTTGAGTTTACTTTTTGAAGCGATTACAATTTTAAAAAAATGTACCTTATCAAATTTTGGCATAGCTTTTACTACTTTGTAAGCTTGTTCTCCTGGTTTGACAACTCTAGCTTTCTTTATCCAAGTTTCTCTTGAACATAAAGTATGTACACAGTGCCGAGAATATATTGCTTCACCAGTTTTTAAAAAACCCAACGGAACTACATCAGGAGGATGGAGAGCTTCAAATTTTAATAAATGTCTAGTCAATACATATAAAGGATGTCCTTTACATTCTCCAACTGTTTTAGGAAGTGGTTGTTCTAATTCCCTACAAATGATATGTGAAGTTCAAATAAATTGTTATCATAATTATTACTTTGAATACATGTTTGAGATACCTTTGTAATAGTTGTTGATCTTCAGCTCTAGACATTGCAGTCCTTTTTTCTTTCCAATTTGACAAAGTTTCAGTCCACCATTTATCATCTACACGTTTTTTTCGAGTATCAGTTAACCAATGTGGACAATATCGCCGAGTCACATCTTTTAGAGTTCCAATTGAATTCCAAGCAACGACATATAAAACTGGAATGCTTGCTTTTTTCTAAAAAAAAAATTTTTGTTTGTATATCCTAAAAATAAATAGTACTCAATAGATTTTTAATACTTACATACAACTCTGCATTACAATGAATTTTTTTATCCAAAATATCAACACTTATCCAACTTTCCTCTGATTCAAGGTATACTTCTACCCATACATTGTATGAATTATTAAAATTATTTACATCTTCTTCATCAGAAGATAATAATTTTCTATGATTATATTTTTTGGTAATAACTTTTGATGTTGAAGGAGGATTTTTTTGTATTGGATCTAGAATTCTCTTTTTAGGTTTTTTTTCAACATAATCATCATCTGTTGAAAACTCACTTTCATCATCTGAAAAATTACTATCATTTTCAGAATTCTTATTCTTTTCCTCACTTGTTTTATCTGTTTTATCAATATTTGACACATTCTGTTTACTATTACTTGAAATTGAAGGTAGTTTTTTTTTTGTTTGAATTCTTTTAAATGCTTTCAAACTGATTTTTTTAGCTATTGATACATTATCTTCATTATCTAAAATATTACTATCTTTTGTATCAACATTATCTTTCTTTGGATCATCTGCAACTATACTTTTATTGAAAATAGCTGCTGCCCTGTTTCTAGCTTCTAATTTTGCAAATTCTCGACTATTTTCTGGTATTATTTTTGTTGGTGAGATAGATTTTTCTTCAGATTTTGACTTATTGTTTTTAGTACATCTTTTTGAACTATTCTTAGAACTAGTATTTCTGGTTAATGTTGTTTTACTGTCGTTATCATGAATTTTTAACAGTTCATCCTGCTTAGGTTTTAATCGCGGTGGTTGAAGAGATAATACTAAACGACAATTTATACCCATACCTCTAACAGCTGCAATATACAGTAAAACCAATTCTATATAATTATAGACTTTTTTATCAGATACTCTTTGTAGAAGTGTATCTATATTAAAAAATACTTCACGGTGTTTTTCAAAAACTGAAAATCTTCCGGTGAACCACTCTGTAAATTGTTCAATATACTTAAGATCTGGACGATCCTTTGGATAATTATTTGGAGATATCAATGATAAAGTAATTGCCAATAGTTCTGGATCATTTGCTAATTTGTTTAAGAAAAATCCATGAGATAACCAAGTCAATAATCCAACTTTGTGGACAAAAACTTGAGCAGCTCGAATTCTTTGATTGATTTTGCTCTGTAATAGTTTCTGTAAATTTCTCTGCCTTTTATTTTTTTTATCCAACATAAAATTTTCTTTAGGTAAATGGATTTGAATCCCTTTTTCGGGTATGGTATAGTTTGACTTAGCTTCATTTTCAACACCTCCATGCACAGTTTTAATTTTATCATCTTGTTTTGATAAAGTTACTTGACTTTCTCCTTGCAAAAGAAGATCATTAATTTCTTTTGACAAATCTTCATTGTATGAGACTGGTGTAACTTGCTCTGTTGATGTACTCGATTGATTATTATTATTGCTAACTAAATTTTGGGTTTTGGCATTCTCAAAGTTTCTTAGGACTTGAGCAAGTAGTTCTGCAGAATTGGTATTATCATTTAAATTATTGACATCATCATCAGAATCATCAGAACTGGACTGCACTGTTAAAGGGCTGCTAGGGTTAGTTTTGTTTGGTAATATCTTGAAAAAAGATGAATTCAAATCAATTTTTTCAGCGGGGACAAAAAAATCGTCACTGCTGTCGGAACTTTCATCGTCAGATAATTGACTCATGTTCACTTTGTCTATTGATCAGAAGAAATATATTTAAAATAGCAACATATAATAACATGCATGATTTTCGCAGTTCCACAAACCAAACAAATATCCTAATCCATGCAGAGTAATCCTCCCTTACCCTGAAATTCGTGAACGGCGCGAACGTTGCTACACTCGTATTGATATATTACGTATTAGTAACTTTTTCTTCATAGCTTGACTTAAACCAAATCGTCAGAGCACTCTACTATGTACTGTGGGTACCAAGGTACAAGACAATTGGTTATGTCCTTATCGATATGTCAGTTATGTGATAAGTGAATTTGGAGCTGTTCAGAAAGTGCAATTACTGCAATTAGTGAGAACTCAGAACTCTTATTCTTATAAACGTTATGTTTCATCTCCCACATACTGTCACCATGATGAATGATTAACAAATGCTTTGATATTTTCTGTTGACAAAAATGTTTCAACAGTTATCTGGTGTTAGCATTATACTTTTTATAGCAGGAGGAGTACAAACAATTTTATTCTTGTTCATATTTGCAAAAAGACAAATAATGAGATTTACAATTCGCTCCAGAAGAGGCCCTTATACTCCTATAGCTTGTGATACAAATAATGTAAGTGAATAATTGATAAAACACGTTTATTTCATCTTATATCTTATAAACATTATTATATACAAGAATTCTACATATATTAACATATTTATTTAAATAAAATAATGAATATGTTATTACAAAAATGTAAAATGTTAAAAGCGACATGAAAATTAGTGAGTAATAAAATGATTATGGTACTACACTTCTTTTTACAAATAACTTGATGGAATTTTTACTATTGAAATTCTTATATTTATGAATCACTGTCTTATTTCATTCTTTCTATAAATTTCTAATAAATTATTTTTTGAAATAATAAAGTTTGATATGTTTCTTAACTAGACTTATATACATTTTAAGTCATGTAATTTATTTTTTGTAATAACCCAGCTTTAAAATACAAAATTTTCAATTTATTTATATTTTTTTATAGATTACAAAAAAAATGAAGTTTTATTTGATTTTTATCAATTGATTTTACTATATTAATTAATACAAATATTTGTCATGCACTTAATTTAAAGAAAATTGATTAACTAAAATTAATGCAATGTGCAAATTTCATTCAATGTTAAAAAAATATGTATATATGCATATTCAATAACCTGAAAAAGTGAACAATACCCTACCACTATACAAATTCAGTAAAATAATATTACAGGTTTTTTTTGGAAAAAAAACCTATAATACTAAATTTTATGAAAATTTATTTAACAACAATTGCATGAGGATCATTTTTTAAAGATAGTATATAATCTTTTTTAATGATATACATGCATGAATAAATGGTATAGTGGAAAAATATTATAGCCATCATTAATCATTGTTAAATCAAAATTCTATTGGAATTTAAGATATATATTACCATCAGCTTGATGTCAATATACCAATTATTAGTAATTAAAGCTGTGCATCATAAAAGTTGCTATAAATAAAAGCAATATTAAATTGTTTACTGTATACTTTTAGTACAATTTAGAAATATTATAAACGGAAAATGTCATTACTAACTTCTATAAAAAATTCCTATATTTGAATTTATTTATGACCAATAATTACTCTTATGAAAAAATTGAATGTACCATTTTAGATATTATTTTATACTATCATATAGATAGATTTCATAATTTTATGCAACAAAATAAAATTTAATGTACCCCACAGGTTAAACTTAATACACACATTTATATTAAATTTATTATTTTGCTTATGTATTATCAAACCTTATTTAATTAAATTAAAATAATGTACTAGATCAAGTATAAATGCTAAAAATAGAGTGAACACTCATCCTATCAGAAAATTGAAAGTTTCAGGAGACATAATTGATAAAATAGATGGGTGACTCCCAAAAAAATTATCAAGACCAAAGAAAGGCCTAAGAAAGGGGCAAAAGATTTTGTCAAACCGCATGATGGAGAGTCTAAATTTAAATGGTCCTACAAGCTTCTTTACTTGGGATATGTCAAATTTATAACTGTTTGTTTATATACTAAAAACTTTAGAAACACGTAGAAGTAGGAAACACAATTATCAAAGAAAAAAATTAATAACTTCTGAAAATAAAAATATTATTTATTGTTGCAAAAATGTTGATAGGTTAAGACTTTACATGTAACGTTTAAAAAAGTTGATCCCCTAACAACAACCCCTACAACAGCTTTTTAAAATGTTGGACTGCAGCGAATTTCCAAGTTTTTCTGCCAGTGTTTTTAATTACTAGAATATTATCAAACGATCGGTGATTTTTATTGTATAAATTGGTAATATCTATGTTCAAGCCAAGTTTCGCGTGTTGCATTCCCTAATAACCTGCGGTCGTGAACTTTGCTTTGGGATGAGAATTATTTTGAAAGCATAGGAGTCAGTTTGAAATATATTATTGATGCTTAGAGAAACTTAATCTGAAATCTAGGGTCATTTAAAAAAAAATTGACAAAAATATATATAGTATTGAGAGCGTCTGGGACAAGGAGGTGGCGGTGGAAAATATAAATTATGCAGCTTATTAAAGACCTCGTGTATTTCCTTCGTATTACAATTATACTACAGTCGCTGATCGTCAATCGCCTCAACCATTCTCTCTCTATCGTCTCAACACACACACCTCTCGCGTCTCAACACGTACTCTGTCCGGCGTCTCAATACAGCGGATTATATAGGGACCGAGGAAAGCTCGAAGCGCTCTCTGGTGGCTCAAAAACGGCATTTTTGGAGTAGAGCTTACACAGACGTGCAATGTAAAGTTTTTGTAAATCGTTGATTATTTTAAATTATACAGTCGCAGTGCAAGTATTATAGCTGGCACTTCTTTACGAATGTAAATAGAACAATAGTTATCATAAAAAAGTAAGTATAATATCAATAAACAATAAATTTATTCATTAGAGTTGAACCTATAAGGTTATGTTTTCTACAGATCTTGATAACAGCATTACATAGTATCGGAAAATGAAAAGTATAAACAAATCTGTTTGATAAAAAATATCCTATGTATAAATTAATTATATATGAACATTTTTGGTACAGGTGTTGTCATCGTAACTTTTTTAAGAAAGGATGGATATAGTAATTAAAACTGGTTTCGAAAAAATTACACATGCTATTCAATTTCAACCCCAAACGCCAAGTAAAGGTAAAGATTTAGCAAATATTGGCCATGTAAGAGATGTTGAGGAAAGGAGACAAGATAAAGTAAGTTATTTAATCCAAGCCAATGTTGTTCGACAAGTCAGTGTCACTAAGCCACCCTATGCAGTAAAATTAAAGGTAGATTGATTGTCAAGTACTTATTCAATTATAAAAGTGTTTTTATATATGATAATTTTTACCTTATTTTTTCCAGATCAATGAGAATCGGTTTGTATATGCCGTATCATGCACCTGTGTATACAACAAAAGTAACCGATGTAAGCATATTTATACTCTTATCCACTACATAAACAACCATGAAAGTTTATCCAAGACTAGTTTTCATAAACAATGGGGTAATCCTACTGCACGTCAGTTTGCTCAAGAGAAATATTCTAAAGGTGCTTCATTTGAAACAATGTTTAAAGAAAAGAAAGTCAAAATTAATCTTGAGCCACCTCCTTTGAATATATTGGACAAAATTAATCACTCATGCCCAATTGTGAACCTTCTTCTTGTGCCTACAATTAGTAATAATAAGAATTCCAGTCAAAAATTGATGATATCCAACCCATCTCAAGAAAAAGTTATTGAAGACTTTAAGAAGTGCAATGATTTATTAAACAAAGTTTTTAAACTTTATGAACAACATGTTTTTTACAAGGTTGTTGTAAAATTACCAAAAGAGGTTAAAGACTTTTATATAAAATTCATTATACTTGCTTCAAGATATGAGATCATTCGATTATGTTGTGATACTCTCTCGCAATCTGATAGTGATAAGTGGTATGCTGCTCGACGATTGAGAATCTCAGCCAGCAAGAGTGCACACAGTATTAAAACAAGGAAAACGAAATCAATTGAGTCTGTTGTCGAAGACATGCTTTATCCTAAGAAGGTGGAAACTACAGCCACACGTTATGGGAAGAAGTATGAAAAGCATGCTTGTAAAGAATATCAAAGATTATATGGCGTTCATGTACAACAATGTGGTTTAGTAATATGCGAAGAGCAACCCTGGCTCTGTGCTAGTCCAGATGGCATTGTTATCCAAGGCAATAAGATAGTTAAAGTTTTAGAAATTAAGTGTCCGTATAGTTGTGCAAAGTTACCCATCGTTGATTATAAAAATAAGAAATGCAACGTTAGTTATTTGAAATTCAAAGGTGATACAATAGAGTTAAGAGAAAGTAATATTTATTTTACACAATGCCAAGTCTTAATGTATGTGACTGGTACTGAAAATTGTGATTTAATGATATATTCACCAATTCAAAATGGTTCATGCTGTGTCCAAGTACAAAGAAATGAAGAATTTTTGAAAGCTACAATAAGAGTTTGCGAGCATTTTTACTTCGACCATTATTTACCTAAGCTGTATTATAAAATTGTAGTTGAACCAAATGAAAACATTCCACCAAAGCGTACTTTTACCGGAGTGAACATAGTCAACACTGTTTAAAGAATTTATAAAGCTGTAAAACATTGATGTAACTGAAAAATTATTTATTGATGTTGTTAATTCAGTTATGAACTGAATGATACAAATAAAATTTTAATATGATAGTCAATAAAAGACTGAAATTTCATATAAATATGTACAATTTGTTATTCTTTTTTTTGTTAATCCTCATTTTGATTCTTTTGATCGGCATGAATAGGAGCCTGAAAATTAACAAGTACACATATGAGATGCACAATATCATCAGCGTAGGAAAATAAACTTGTAGGTATTTCATCTAAAATTTTATATATTCTAAGTCGTTGAATTACTCTTTCTACGTGAATCCGAACTCTTGCTATTTTATATGTTTCTTCAGTCTCAGCTTGAGAGAATTCCGTTTTGTTTTCCAAGTATGGTGGCAATACCATTAGAACACTTCTTCCGGACTCGTCTAAAAGCTTACGAAATTCTGGAAAACCTTTGTCAGCAAGGACAACATCGCCTTCTTCTAAATAATCTATTAGCCCAGATTCAATAGTTAGTTGAGAATCACTTTTACGTCCACCAGCGACTTTTGATTTTAAACAAATGTATCCACCTGGTGTAACTCCAATAAGAATTTTAGCTGTATAACCATGTTTGAGAAAATGAAAAAATTTTATCATCAGCATCATGAGGTCTTTGCATTCTGAACTCTGTACAGTCAATAATAATTCGAGTATTTTTATAATCTGGATAAAAGGATTCAGGCATTGTGCCTTGAACTTGAGCTTTCGTAGGCCAAAATATTAAATTTTGTGTTGCCGATACTAAATATACTAGTGTATGTATAACAATGCTGGACACAGTTGTTCTATGTACATCAAATATAGCTGATAACGATGAAAAACTAAGCCCAGTTTTTACTTTCATTAAAAGCAAAAATAATCTATCTTTATGAGAT